GTTTCAAGGCTTTATTACTTAAGATTGCATTAAGAAGAGAAGGAAGTGACAAAAATGGTAGACATGGTGCAACTGGAAAAATTTCCAGAATTTTTCAGGGTTCTTTTAGTAATAGTTTTTGTTCTGGATTTTCAGCCACATATCTGCAATGTTACTAAATAACTTGTTAAATCATGGTTCTATTATCCCTGAGGATGTGTGAGGATAGCTGAGGGTCACCACTTCTACTCACCTTTCACAAACCACACTTATGCTGAAAATCATAGGAAGTTCTCTTGAATGCCTCTATTTTATTGCATTGGTCAAGTGATGTTTTAGCGTAAATAGAATTAAAATTGTCATTAACGTATACTTCTATCAGTGAAATGAATGTTGTTTTCCACATTACATATTTTCTTCTTCTCCACAAATATTCTGGGATTCCTATGCAATGTAATTAAAATTACACAGCAATATTCTCGGCAATGGAATGGATTGCCCAGTGTAATGTCAAGATTCTTCACTTGTTCAACAGTGTAACAAGGGTTCCCCTTTACAAAACAAGGCCTGTTTGCCATATATATAATGGTGAAAACCTTGTCATATTGGGATTTATTCTTTCAGTATGTGAATTTGTCCTCTCCCTTTTCTCTTAGAAAAAAATTAGATCCGTAGTCTATTTATGTGTCACATTCTTTACCAATTCTTTTGAAATACACATCTCCTTGTCCTGGTCTTCAGATGAGAAAATGGTTATGTGACTGGTTAAAAGTCGCACAACTGATGTTCAAATCCAAGTGTTTGAGCCCATTGTTTATCCCAGGAAGGAATAGCATGAAAGAAAAAGAGAATTGTGAAAGAATGGGCTTGAAAATGAAGGTCACTGGAGGGCATAATGCTAAGTGAAATGAGTCAAGCATAAAAGGACAAATATTGTATAATCCCTCTTGTATAAGAAGACAAGAGCAGATAAATATAGAGAAACCAATGTTCACTGGTGGTTACCAGGGAGAATAGTGGGGAAGGGGTAATTACGCTTTAGAACTAAGAGACCTACTACTTTTGGTGACGGGAAACGTGGCTCCGAGTGTGGAAGTAGCGGGAACAGCACAACCGTAGTAAAGATGAGTGTCTGAGTACAAATGAAAGAGAACAACAGCAAATTGTAATCAATGTCACTAACGTCAATGAACAATTGATATGCAAATTTGTAAAAAAAATTCATTGTAGGATACACAATTTTGCAACAACAATAATAACAACTGAAGATGTGTATTTGGTTACATGTACATATAAGTATGCATAAATATGTATGTTCTTGTTATTAGGTGTCGAGTCGGTTCGGACTCATAGCGACCCTATAGAACAGCCCCATAGCATAGGATTTCCGAGATGCGGCCAGTGAATTGGAACTGCCCACCTTTCTGTTAGCAGCTGAGCTCTTAAGCACTGTGTCACCAGGACTTCTAAATACATATAGGAGAGAATACATGAGTAACTGTTGTTGTTGTTAGGTGCCGCGGATTCTGTTCCTACTCATAGGGACACTATGTAAAACAGAGCGAAACATTGCCCAGTCCCGCGCCATCCTCACAATCGTTGTTATGCTTGATTCCATCATTGCAGCCACTGTGTCAATCCATCTCATTGAGGATTTCCTCTTTTAACTGACCCTCTACTCTACCAACATGATGTCCTTCTCCAGGAGCTGGTCCCTCCTGACAACATGTACAAAGTATATGAGACATAGTGTCACCATTCTTGCTTCTAAGGAGCATTCTGGTTGTCCTTCTTCCAAGACAGATTTGTTCCTTCTTTTCTCAGTCATTGGCATATTCAGTATTCTTCACCAACACCACAATTCCAAGATGTCAACTCTTCTTCAGTCTTCCTTATTCATTGTCCAGCTTTCACGTGCATATGAGGTGATTTAAAACACCATGGCTTGGGTCAGGCGCACTTTAGCCTTCAAGGTGACATCTTTGCTTTTCAACCCTTTAAAGAGGTCTTTTGCAGCAGATTTGCTCAATGCAATATGTCTTTTCATTTCTCCACCGCTGCTTCCATGGGTGTTGATTGCAGATCCAAGTAAAACTAAATACTTGACAACTTCAATCTTTTCTCCGTTTATCATGATGCTGCTTCTTGGTCCAGTTGTGAGGGTTTTTGTTTTCTTTATGTTGAGGTGTAATCCATACTGAAAGCTGTGGTCTTTTTTCTTCATCAGTAAGCGCTTCAAGTTGTCTTCACTTTCAGCAAGCAAGGTTGTGTCATCTGCATATTGCAGGTTGTTAATGTATCTTCCTCCAATCTTGATACCCTGTTCTTTTTCATAGAGTCCAGCTTCTCAGATTATTTGCTCAGCATACAGATTGACTAGGTATGGTGAAACAATGTAACCCTGACATAGACTTTTCCTGATTTTAAACCTCACAGTATCCCCCTGTTCTAGTCAAACAACTACCTCTTGATCTACGTAGGGGTTCCTCACGAGCACACTTAAGTGTTCTGGAATTCCCATTCTTCTCAATGTTATCCATAATTTGTTAGGGTCCACCCAGTCAAATACCTTTGCATAGTCAATATAACACAGGTAAACATCTTTCTGGTATTCTTCACTTTCAACCAAGACCCATCTGACATCAACAATGATATCCCTAGTTCCACATGCTCTTCTGAATCTGGCCAGAATTTCCTGCAGTTCTCTATCAATATACTGCTGCAGCCGCTTTTGAATGCTCAT